CGTTCTTTATGAATCAATTTTGTAGGAATTGCAGTTTACGGACTACGGCTGTTTGAAAGGTTTTCTTCCATAAAATTAATCGATTCTAGACTAATTTGACTCAACATTTCCAAAATGCGTATAATTTTTTGGGAATAATACATATAAACTATGCTATAAACAAAAAATTGTAGGATTACTTACTGAGTGTGCACTGTTCGACTACGCCATTGCTTAAGCTTGTTTTCGTCGTGGAGATTGTTATCGAATGGCGCTCGCGTGCTTCCTGATAAATTATATTTTTGCGAAAAATTTGATGAACTTTCGAGACATCATTAATATAAATATAATTTTTATGGACGTTAAATAATAAATGGTTTTTAGTAGGTCTGCTGCTTGTTTAAACTCAATGGTTTGTGCAATCCTGTCGCGACACAAGTCGGCGATGACGTTTTACTGAATTATAGGAGTTTTTTAGCATGTTTGTATGAATACTGTCGCAATTTTTTCGCCATGATATAGGAATCCAAACTATAGGAACCCGTGTTATAGGGGGTCGACTGTATCTATGTAATAGCTAATGTCTGACAGAAAAAAAAAAATGTTTATTTTAGATTGCAAAGTGATAAAAATTTATAATCCGAAACCAGTTTTCGTAATCTCTATTTATATTTATATGTCTACATATATCTATATATGCATACAAATATGTATATACTGTATATAATCTGCTCCACACTGAAATCTCTTTTTTTTTATAGAAAAAACTTAATTAGCAATTTAAAACAGTCTGGAAATTTTTGTTCAATTCATAAAAATAAAATTTATTTAAAATTTAGAAATTTAATTTTTGCTTATATGTATATCAATTTTTGAAATATTTAGCTTAAAAAAATTTTATGATAAGGGTAATATAAACATGTTTGGGAGGTTATGTAAAAGTAAAAATATTTCTTTCATTTTGTTTCTGAAAAAGTGTATTTTTAACTTGCAAAAATTTTATTGGAGAATGTTCATAAAAATGACATGCCACTGCCACAAGAAACTTCATCAATTCTGATTTAAGCTAGAAAAACAGAGGTATAAAATACACATAAATGTAGACAAAACAGAAAAAAATATTTTCTATTTTTTACATGTTCAGATAATAAAATTTTAGCAGAAATGCTAATATTTTTAGCATTATATTTTTAGCATTATAGCCTCATATACTTTATTTTTGTTTGAATAAAGCAAGAGGAAGTAAAGCATGTTTTTATTTACTGTTATATAATATTTGGCATTAAGTTCAAACTATAGCGTGTTGAATAAAGTATGTAATATGTAAAAAAAAAAAAAAAGTGCTTTCTGCCAGTAATAATTAAAAATTTTTTCAAATTATTCTTAAACACAAAGTGTAATCAACTTTTGTTGTTGGAATTTTTAAAGTAACACCACTGATAGAGGAGAGGACAGATCCTTCTTTACATATTTTAATGTAAGTTGTAGCCTACAGTTAAAGAGTGATTTATGTTATTGTTTTTAGAAGTTCACTGAAAGTTTAAAAAGAAATTTTGTGCAACAGTTGTTTTTGCAATTGTCTACAATGTGAAACATAGTTAATTCTTAATACTTTTTATATGATTACAGCCAAGTTTATTAATCAAGTACAAACCTAGTAGCCAAATTCATTATCATATCAATAATGACTAATTTTGCATATTCTATACATACATATATATACAGTGTATATATATACACACACACTGAAAATAGTCTTATTTTTTTTATCATTTATAAGCAATAAGTCAAATATGTCCATAGGCTAAATTTGGCCCTGGAGGTAATAATCACTAGTCCTAAGTTATACATTTGACAATAACTCTAACAGAGTCTAATTCATAAGTTTTATCAATGGTTTTTGATTAATAGGTTAGACTCTAGTAGAAAGCTTATTTCTGAAACCAAATGTTAAGAAAGCTGGCCATGACTTAAGATTTTCTTTCTGTAATTGGCAGTATGATCAATAATTTAAATAAATACTGTATATATAAATTGTTTTCTTTGCCACAATACAATATGAATATTTATAATTTATTTTAAATATAATTTATACATATATATATATTTCAATCAAATATTTTAAATACTTAAAATAATGTTTTATAATTACCTATTTCAGTTCTTAATGATGTCAGTATTGCAGAGACAACACAGGCAGGATGAACAACTAAATTTGAAACATCTAACTCGTGTAGACGAACAATATGCAAAGTTGAATCTAAAATAATATTTTAATGTATATGACATATTTATCATATTTCTAAATAATTTTGTATAAAATGTTATAATTCAATTTATTTAATTCAAATGTACTCAGTGATAAATAAACTATTTTTGTTAAAAAAGAAAATCCAATTTAATTCATACAATTTTTATTCTCTGTAATTCTTAGTAATTACTTTTAAATAGAATTTCTTATTATATATGTAGAAATAGTGATAGAAATAAAAAACAAGAAATGACAATAATCTTCCAGCATTCATAACTGTCTTGGTAGAATGATAAATGTTTGTCTTTTGTCCCTTTCCGCCATCACCAACAGTCGTCTTCCCTCACTTCTCCCCTTACTCGTCCCTCTCTCTTGTTCTCCTCATCTCCCCCACAACCCTTGTAAGTTTATTGTTTTAAAGGTTTAGGAATGTTACTTGTTTAAACCCCACATATATATTATTTGGTAATATCTAAGAAATAATCATTTTTATATTTCTTTCAATTACAATTTATAATTTCAAGATTAATTACCAACAACAAGAAAAATGTAAATAGATTCTATTTTATTACTTACTGGAAGATGAATCTTTTTTTTGTAAATGATATAATGTCAGATGAGAATCTGCACAAAAACTAAGTAGACGATCACCAAGAACAGATAACTGAAGAACCTGTGTTGATACTTTGATAACTCTAACAAACTGATTATCTAATTTTGTTTCTTCAGGATACAAACGAATCTGAAAAATAAAAGTTTACATAACATAATAACTGATTAACTAACATTTCATATTCATCAAAATAATTTTATATTTAATGATATATTATTTATAATTTCCATTGATTTTATGATAAAATCAATGAAAATTATTTTGTTAAATAAAGAAATTATAAAATTTGTCAAAATATAAATAATTGAAAATTTTGAAATAATTTTAGAAATGAATAAAAATTTTTAGATATAATGATAATGGAAAATGCAAACAATTCTCAAATGTAACCTTTGTCTCAATATAATATTATGTTATACTGTATTTTTGCAGAATGATCAGCATGTCATGTATAAATGAGGGAGACCAGCAGATTACTGGCATGCCAGTTAAACTGACTAAAAAAACTAATCAAATGTAACAAAACTAATTGTTAAACAAATGTTAAAAAATTCTTCAGAGTACAATATAATATTCTAATTTGACTGACTTAAAATCAGGTAGAGAGTTTTCAATTACAAGACAATAAAAAAATAGCCAGTGTGGGCTACACTGACCATTTATCCCAACCTTAAAAATAACACCTTCTTCTCAAATTTCACACAAAGGTAAGTTGAGATAATTTAGGGCCAGTTTCTTAAATTTAACATGTTTAATTAAATTTATTAAATATCAATGGCATTATCATAAAATAAACATAAAAAAAAGCACTTTTGGAATTCCACAAGTTTTTATGTCATTAGAAAGAAGACAAAATAAAGAAATTAAATGTATAATTACAGTTTTTGACGCAATGCTGACAGTTTCACAATTTTAGAAAAAAAGTCACATTCATTTTTACATTACATAANCTCGTATCTATTGGATATCTAAACAAAAAGTATTTCCAGTCAAACTAGTCCTTATCTTATATTGGTGTACTTTTAAATAATGCAAATGTTATATCATATCTGTATGTTTACAATATCTGAATGAAAATAGTAAATTAATGAAAAATGTTGATTTTCAATATTTTATTCTAGTGGCACATAATGATATTAAAATAATATTTTACTAATATCAACTGTATACTGAGAAAATAGCATAAGAATTTTTCTTTATAGCTGTATTTAGTTACTCATATTATTTGTTGTTATTTCCATTATCCCAAGTTTTACAGTTTAAATCTCAACATCTATCTCAATGCTTCTTGTTTTATTAGTCAATTTCTACAATCTTATTGGATTTTCATTCCATAAAGATATCAATTACAAACAAGAGCTTTAATAAATTAATATTTATCATTATCATCATCATTGTGAGTACAATATTGTAAAATTTGATAAATTTCACAAGCTTTAGCTGCTTTTGAAATTTAATTATGGCTTTAAAAATTAAGTTAATTCCAAATTTATAAAATTTCAAAAGCTTTTATTTAAAATATTTTCATAAAATAAAATTAATTTTCAAAATATTTTCATAAATTATAAATAATGATGATAAAAGACAATTAGAGTAGTGATGATATGATCATAAAAATGGAGAAAAAATGAATGACATAAAAACAATTTATAAATTATATAGTAAAACTAAACTACTAAAAACTATAAAAATCTTATGCCACAAATAGTGATTCAGATGGTCCAGAATAGAGAGCAGACTTGAATGCAGATCATCTTAAATTGATATATAAATGAATACATGTAAAGTATAATTTTTCATCTTCAAGAAAATATACCTGTTATTCTCTACATACAGACAACATACTAATGCAAATAAATCATGATGATTTTGCATTATAAGTCACATCATATACATAAAAAAAAATAATAATAAAGAATAAAAAATATATATAAGTTTTGGCTTTTTTAGAATTTAGTAACAAGTCAAAAGAGTTATAAGCATTTAACTGCTATTTCAGTTTTTTAAATTTTTACCTTTTGCACCCATTTTTGGGCAGCTCAAATTGATTATTCATATAAAATGTTTCAATATTTTCTCAATTCTTTAATTTTTGATAAAATATTGGATAACAAAAAGTAAGCTTTCACGATTTCTGCTTTTTTTTTTTTTTTAAACTTTCCATTACCTACTTTATTTTAAATTTATTTTTCCAAAGAAAATCTTGCTAAGCTTTTATGACTAATCTTTGTGCAAGAGATATAGTAAGCACTGTAAAGGACATTTAAGTTATACATTACCTGTCACTAAATGATTTTTAAAAGTACCACAATATTAAAAAAAGAAATAAAAACAAATCATCATAAGTTACCAAAATGCATACAATCTCTGTGCCAGAATGATAAAACAAGTTAAAACAGTAACCCAATTGCAATTTTTTGTTCAATCCTAGTCATAATCATAAAATGAATCAGTTATGGTTCATTTTTTTGCAAGTAAAGAGATTCATGCTTTAAAAGAACAAAGACTGAAATTAATCTTTTACGAGGGCTGTTCGGAAAATTCGCGGCCTCAAATAAAACAACAAACAAAATGTTAAAACTTTTTTTATTTTTCAATGTAGTCTCTTTTGTTAGCAATGCACTTGTTCCAGCGATGTTCTAGCTTTTTTATGCCATCACAATAGGTCGATTTGTCAAGGTGTTCAAAATACTCGTTCACTTCAGAGATGATTTCGTCATTTGAGTGGAATCTTTTTCCAGCCAAGAATTTTTTTAGGTTTGGAAAAAGGTGGAAGTCACTGGGGGCCAAATCAGGTGAGTACGGTGGATGTGGAACTAATTAGAAGCGAAGTTCGTTTATCTTTTGTTCAGTGATTCTGGAGGAATGTGCAGGTGCATTATCTTGGTGGAACAGAACCTTTTTCTTCTTCAAGTGTGGCCTTTTTTCTTCGATTTCTTTCTTCAATTTTTCCAAAAGTTCACAGTAATAGACAGAATTAATGGTCTTTCCTCTTTCTAGGTAGTCAATAAAGATGATGCCTTAGCATCCCAAAAACCCGAGGCCATCACTTTCCCCACTGATGGAACTGTCTTCGCCTTCTTTGGTGGTGGCAAACTGTGGTGTTTCCATTGCTTCTACTGTTCTTTTGTTTCAGGAGTGTAGTTATGGATCCACGTTTTGTCAGTAGTCACAAACCGACGCAAGAAATCCTGTGGGTTTTTCTGGTAGAAGTCCAAACACTCCTTTGACATCAAAGTGCGAACACGTTTTTGCTCGGCGGTCAGCAGACGCGGCACCCACCTTGCTGAGACCTTCATCATACCCAAATTTTCGGTTAGGATGTGGGGCACTCGGTCGACAGAGATGCCTATTGTCTCAGCTATCTCACGCGTTTTCAAATGGCAATCTGCTAATACCAAATCGTGAACTTTGTCGATATTTTCTTCAGTGACAGCAGTTGACGGCCGTTCACTGCGAGGGTCATCTTCCACACTCCACTCTCTCTGCCAGATTTAAAAAGGGCTGTCCATTTTTTTCACAGTGGTGTACGAAGGAGCAGACTCTCCCAAAACTTCATCCATGTCAGCTTTGATTTGAGATGGGGTCAACCCTTTTTTCGTCAGGTATTTTATGACCGCACGAGTCTCCGTCTTCTCCATTTTTGACAAAGCATGTGCACANAGCTTGTTTTCTTCGCGAAGCAGCACAACTAACCACGGCAGATCTCTGATAACTTATTTTTCTGCGAAAACTTTGTTGAACTTCAAAGACATCATTAATATAAATAATTTTAATCGTCGTTGAATAAAAAATGTTTCTTTCGCAAGAAATGTATAAAAATACAGTACTGTATTAGACTTTCGGTACTTAATTTACATACTGCACAGACGATAGTTCGTTCTAAACGCTATGTTGCGTAGCGCCAGGCAGCAAAAAATATATATATATATATAAAAAAATAAGTTTTAGATCATGTTAAGAAAAAATTTTCCTGTGGGGGACCCACAAGAAAATTCTTTTTCAGAAAAATCAGTTCATTTTAAACAGATCTTCATGTTAAATGTATCTAGTATGAAAATATTAATAAAAAGTATTTTAATCCATATTGAATTTAATGAAGAATTGGGAAATGCTTTGTGGTAACCATAATTCTTGCTAAGCATGTTCACATTAACAAGTTTGACTGTATACATTTTTAACAATAACTAATCATATTAAAATTTAAGTAAAATAACTTACCAGAGAACTGATTCTGAAAGGATTATTCTTTAGACTTTCTACAGAACTAAAATGAAAAAATGTTTGACTTTTAATCAGAAAGATATATCTTCAAGAGATTTTAGTATAATAATTTTACCCATAGTCCCATCCCAATGTGCACATTAGTAAAGATCCAAACACACTCCAAACTGCTAAGCCACCTTTTTCCCAAGCCATAGCTAATGCCATCCCATCAGGACTCCATTTAAGGTAAGTAACTGCACCTGCTGCTGTAGTAGAATCTAAAATATTCAATTCAATTAAAATTGTTTACATATAATACTTTTATACATTTATTAGTTCTGATTTTATTTAAATATAAAAATACTAATGAATTTAATGAATGAATGATATTTATCAAACTCAAATAAATAAGATTATTATAAATACAATAAAAATTTATTGACAATATGGAAAAATCTACAGAAAATTAATTTTAACATAAACTTATTTTAGAATATTTATTTAATCATACTTAAATATTTATTCTTCCATATAATTCAATTAAGTTATAAATAACTATCAGAACAATTTGGAATAATTATTGAAATAATTAACCTGTGAATTTTGAAATGAATAATTTATTCAAACAGAATTAGCTTAATTTTTTGACTTTATTATTTATTTTAGTTAGAAATTTTAATTAATATTATATTATACAATTATACAAAACAATAGATATATTTGCATTTTTAAATGAACTTTCAGATTTAAAAAATTATAATATATTTTTATCTGTAACCTGTACAAATTTGATCATTCAATTCTAGAAATTACAAAAAGAATTTAATTATGAAATCAACTTATAAAAATTATTTGTGAAGGACAATTTACTTTTCTAAGATTTGTCACAAACTTTTCTAATTTGATTATTTTTGAACTTATTATGATATGAGATATTATAAATGTCTAGGAAAATAATCCATCTTCAAAATCTATACTATTTCAATATTCATAAATTATAAATGTTGCTAACAAATCTAATAAAAAGATACATTTAAATTTTTAAAACTTCTTCTAAAAAAACAAAGATTTTTGCCAAAACTTTCATAGCACCTCATATCATTAAAATGAATAATTTATATAATGAATGTATTCAAAAATTTGCAATTTACTCATAACTGTCCATCTCTTTATTATGCTCCACCAGTTATTTTTGATTTTATAATATCTTATAGTTTTAATTATTATCCTCTCTATCTGTATGTATATTTTTATTACTCCACTCTACAGAGAATTTCCTAATATTTATTATTGAATAAAAAGTTGTACATAACAATTAAAAGTAGTACAATATAATTNACTCCTCAGTGCCGAGAGAAAATACTGTAGATAAGCCATTTCCAACTACCTCAAATATGTAAGCATCTTCCCGTTCTAATAAACGATTTTCACTATAAAATACTTGTCATCTTTGTCTTCTCCGCCATCACCAACGTACGAATGGACCCTAGACCATCACCGACACACGATTAACTGATTTTCCCTAAAAGTCGGCAAGCTTACAAATTTGACACAAAAAGCCGTTAAGTTCGTTATCCAAGACAAAATTTTTTCAAAATAATAGTTCGTTAACCGATTTGGTCGTTAACCAGGACGTTCGTTAACCGGGGTTCCACTGTATAATATAATTTTTGCACAATAAAATATAAGTTATTTCAATAAATTGTGTGTAAACACTATCCTTTTATCAACCGCAATACAATTTTATGCTACCAATCCATGCAATATGGTATATCATTATTTAATAAATTAATATAAAACTGAAAGTTATTAATTGAATGTTGCTATAAATTCTTGATGACTGTAGTATATATTAGATTTGTAATCAAGTATAAAAGTCATTCTTAAAATGTATATTGATTATTCTTCTATGACTATATATGAAATAAAATATTTTGTGGCATCAATTCATGCCAAGGATTAATACATTTATAGTTTCTGAAAAATCTGTGATGAAAAACAACAATTTCCTAAAATTTTAATCAAAATTTTATTTGACTTTGTGGAAGTATGTCTAATTAAACTGAAAAATTAACTTATAGTAGATCGAAAATCCTGAAATTTTTTCATCTGTTTATCATATACAATTTCAAAATTCTTATTTAGTTTTATATCTTGAAAGACTTTTCCTAATTAACAATTTTTAATATCATCTTGTACTTTGATAATTAGGTTTGGGTTCAAAAAAAGTTCAATTTAGAAAATATCATTTGAATTCTATAACAACAACACTAAAACATTTTACATAAAGTATATTCTAAATCAACTTAATTTTAAAATATAAAATTCAATTTCTTCTATAATTTAATCAAATTACCTGGAAAATCTTTTGGAGATAAAACAAGTTTATGAGTTAAAACTAATGCACCCGTTAAATCATCAAAGCAATAAACAGCACCATCTGCACTATAAACAAAACAAAAATATTGTTTCTATTATAAAGATTATAAACTGTTAATCTATTTTTCAAATTATTATAACTAAATTTCACAACTTTACTAATTTATTATATAAATCACACTATAAAATAATTCTTTCAACTAAACCTTGAATATTTTTAAGCTGTTAAAAACATCATAAAATCAACTTTTAAGTTTAAAATTTGTAATAAAAAGTTATATGGTATAATATTTAGATACATGCATTCTTAACTTTAAAATAAATATCTTTATATTATACCTATAACTATGTTTAAAAGATTTTTTAACTTGATAACTACAATTTTATGTTCATTTATGAAAAATTTCAATCCATCAATTATTACTGTTTAAATCATTACTGCTTCTTTCTTAGAGAGAGTGGTGCAAAATAAATTATCCAATTTTCTTTGTTATAAATCTCAAAATAAATTTTTTATTTGGAAGCATAAAATGTTTTCATATTGCATGTGGAAGATGGAGGTTAGTGCTTGAGGAAACACATGCCTTACAACAATATACATCCAATCCTATAGTAAGCTTTTTAAGTTTTGATCTCACCAAAAAAATTATAGATACTTAATCAACTTAGTAATCATTGCTGCAGCCTATAACTTTATTGTGCTTTCTTAACTAATCTGCTTATTTTAAGTTTATTAGCTGATACACTGCTAACCCTAACAGGATACCCAACAAATCATCTAAATTACTTTCCACTCAAGAGGTCTTCATTCTCAGTCAGGATAACTGAAATAAACATTTTTAGAGACATTAGTATGATCCTTATTACTTGATCCAATTACAAATAAAAGACTAATAAATCAAACTGAAAGTTACAAGTTAGACATACGATTCACCAAACTCAGAGAAGACTATTCTCACCTCTTAGAAAAGTATGAAACTGCACAAGAAAAACTCATCCAACTCCATTAAAAAGGTATGTTTTACCAAACTAGACTCCAAACATATGTGATTGTCTCAATAGTAAGGAAAACTTCCCCTAGAACTGAAGTTTATCTCTCAAGATATTCTAACTGTGATCTTAAAAATGACTTCAGATGACATGAAAATGCTCTAAAAAGGTGAAGGAACTATTGATAAAATCCTTCAACAATAAAGAAACAACAGTATATGTTGAAAAGTATGTTATTTTAAATAATGGAAACATTAAATTAGAAGTTCTTGATGCCAGAAATGTTCAGAAAATGTCAGAACTAATTACAAATAATATAAATATAAACCTATCCTACAAGGTGGTTCTCCCTAAAAAGTGACTTCTCCTTACTCAGACTTCACAATAATGATGGAAGCCTCTCCAAGATGAAAATCATTAACTACATTTTGTCTCAGAATGATAAAATTAAAACTGCAATTAACAGTGGAGGTATTCTTGAGGTTCTTGTGAAAAATAAACTGGTTAGATATGCAGGAATACTTGTGATCTAGACTCAAAAATATGAGAATTTTGATTCAAGCAATTTTGCCTTTCAGCTTATGTTATTCTATATGGTTTCATCATAGGGACATGTCCTTTGAAAGAAGTACATTGCTGCAAAATTCTTAAGCTAAACAAAAAATCTTTGCTCAAAAATCACAAGAGGTTATAGAACAGTTTCTACAGACCCCCTACTTGTACTGTCAAAATTTGCTCTGTGGTCTCTAGTAAAAAACCAAGAAATGCTAAAGTTCTATTTACAAACCTTCTATGTTAAGAAATTAAATTTAAACTTACTATTAGCCAGTTTACTAAATATGCTGCTTAGAGATGATGGAATTGCTACCAAGAAGCTCCCTACATATAAATGAATGGAAAAAATCTGCAAATCACTGTTGAATCTTCCATCTGCAAAACTGCAAACATTATTATTTATACAGATGGCTAAAAGAAGAAAAAAAAAGGACAACATGGTGAGATCTAGTAAACAATGTATTTACAATAATGAAAACTTCACATTTTTGCATGTTATTCAATATAAATACCCATGTTATACAACTGCTTTTTCAAGCAAACCTCAATGTCATCTATAAGGCAATCTATGAACCTCCAAACTACAATACTGAGCAAACTAGATATTTTTACAAACTCCAGATCAGTTTTAATAAAAATGAAAAATAGGAATACACAGCATAACAAAATCAAAATCATACAACAGCTTCTGGACTTTGCTTCTATTTTTATTCAGCTGCATTCCATTCCTGGTCACATACAAACTGGAAATTAATTAATAGATCAAATCAGCTACTTCTAATAATAACCTGAATATTAAAATATACCATACTCTAGACACTACTTAAACTCATATTTATATCAACAAACTTTGGAGAACTGAAACATTTATTAGAATAACACATATAAAGAAAAAATAACAAGATTTATTCCATTCAGTAGATTAAGCATTGTCTCAACCTAATGATAATCTGAACCACATTACAACCCAAATATTCATACATCATGGAAACTTTCATAGCTACCTGACAAAATATCAGTATAATCCCACTGATACTGATACAATTTTCTGCACATGTAAATCAGAAACAGGAACAATACATCTAATCTACTGTTGTCCAATCAATGCAACAGAAAGATTACTTTTTTGACTGGAACTGCATACCATAAATGTAAATTAGCCTTGTGCCTTATCACATCTTACAGACCCAAATACAGTAGAGCATTGATTATCCGAATGTTAATCAACTGAAACATCTGTTAACCAAAAGCATTCCAGTTGAACTATGTCCTGCTGAATCAAATGCTTTTGATAATGATTAACTTTTAAACTAGATTAACTTTTAAAGTATAATTTTTTTGTTTTTATATTTTTCAATATATTTATTTTATTTGTACAAAATAAAGAAATAATTTTTGACGATACAATAGCCACAATTACAGTAGAACCCCTCTAATCCGTCACCTTTGGGACTGGGGGTGTGGTCGGAATGCAAAAAAGGTCGGATTATCAGAAAAAAAGTAAAATAAACAATCTTCCCCTTTGTCCAGTCTTTGTAGCACTGCTAATTTTTCATTTAATGAAAGAGTAACGTGTTTACGTTTCACTCCTGACATGTTGAAAACACACACAAAACTGTACATGTACACACAATTTAAAACATATACTGTAACGAACACAGAAAAACGCCATGGACAGTGAGTCACCGACGAGTCGGGACAAGTTTCTCGACTCCGACCATGGTCAGATTAACCGGAGTGACAGACTAGCCGAGGGCGGACTAGAGGGGTTCTACTGTATTATTATAAAAATTTTTGTTAGGCTTAACATCAACGAAAATTCAATGTGAAGCTACATGCAACAGAGAAAAATTTAAAGATGGGATATATTAATATACCGTTATCGGGATATACTAATATTCTATATTAATAATGCATTTTTTTGTACATAATCGCTTATCCAAAAAATTGATTTTCCGAACAACCCCAGTCCCCAATTGATTCGGATAATTGTTTGCCCTCATGAGATGAATGGAGATAAGACAAATATTGCAATCAATGTCTGTTACAAAAAGTAGCATTTCAGTGTTTTAGTTAAAAGTTATACAGTTCCCACAAAAAATTTCCATCATGAAATATTCTTTTATGTAATAATTATTTCAATTCTAGTTACATAACATTCAATAATTTTAAAAATACCGTAATCCATATAAAAACACTCTACTGTCTACTGTACATTCCTTATTGTCTTTTATGAAAAAGCTTTTTATAACAGTTCTTAATTAGCCTTTCATGCTATTATAGAGTGTTATTATTTTTTTGTTGATATATTTGTCAACTTATCATCATATTACATTCAATGTGTGTTGCCAGTAATGATAATAATAGTAATAAATATTACATGAAGAATATGGCATCTGACACGTTTACCTTGAGATTGATATGAAGTTGGACCTTTTTTTATAGCATTTTACTATTATATTTTGCAATGTTTATGGTGTTATATTTTCAATATTAAATTCAATACTGTTCTCTAATATCTCCAATATGTACATTTTTAACAAGTGCACTTGTTAAAAATTGAAGTTATCATATTTCCTTCAGTGTTTTTATATGAATTACAGTATTTTTAAAATTACTGAATGTTATGCAACTAGAATTGAAATAATTATTACATAAAAGAATATTTCATGATGGAAACTTTTTGTGGGAACTGTATAACTTTTAACTAAAACACTGAAATGCTACTTTTTGTAACAGACATTGATTGCAATATTTGTCTTATCTCCATTCATCTCATGAGGGCAAACAAGTTAAAACATATTATGAATTTTGAATATGTTTCTAATGCTATTGAGTGTTTTTTGGTGTGATGAAAATACAGAAAACTATTCATTTGGATATTCCTCATAATTTGTTAACTTTGAATCAAATATTAAATATTTAATTTCTTTTTTTGCTGAGTTGTGTTTTTAAGCAAAATCAGCAATAAAATTTTAAAACTAACTTAAATTCAAAATATATTTTTTTAGTATTTTCACAGAAAATAAATTAGATTAGAATCTATTCTAATGACACAAAGATTGGATCAAGGTATAGTTGACAGAGTTGGCCCTTGGGTTGGTTCATCTTAGTGTGCTATAAGGGAGATTGATAAGACAATACATCTGTTTTTCTTAATTTGTAATCAAGAATTTTTAATAAATATAAATATTTAATAGAAGTAATAATGCTGATGTAATTAAGTAAATTAACAACATGCACTTGACCCCTTTTCAAGACAAAAAAAAAAAAAGAAAAAATGAAACCAAAGGGAGTATATGTGTATTCATAAAAAATTCTTTCATCCCTTAAAGATGCAAAAATGCGCAACCCAAGAACCAACTGAAAAAATATTTTTTAAGTAAATTAACAACATGCACTTGACCCCTTTTCAAGACAAAAAAAAAAAGAAAAAATGAAACCAAAGGGAGTATATGTGTATTCATAAAAAATTCTTTCATCCCTTAAAGATGCAAAAATGCGCAACCCAAAAACCAACTCAAAAAATATTTCTTAAGATGTTCAAATTATTATACATGATAAAAATACTATAATATATATTAACTTTGATAAGTCATTTATATATGTATAAATTTAATCATGTAATAACCAAATGTTATTTAAGATTTTCTTATATACCTTATTAATTCATTTTAAAAATATATGCTAAAAACTGTATAAAAATAAGACTTCAGATCAGAAATTAAAAAAAAGTTATAAATGAATAAATAATCTCATTAAAAAGTATACATTGTTATAAATGAAGTGAATCAGTCCCATAACTTGGAAATGACTAAAGATAGGAGAATCAGACTAATTATGTCAAAACAAGCTGCAAGGTGCAAACATGTGCTAAAAGCAGTTGCATCCATTATAATGCTCATCTACCTGCCTTTCTCGACTTATACATTTATGCTTACTTTACCCAATAACAGTGAAAGTAATCAAAAATCGCCCCAGAATAAACATTATTCAGATTTTCATGTATTTTCCAATGGCAATATTCTGATCCCACATACTGTTGGAGTTTGGTGATACGCTCAGATTATAGGATCTTATGGGGAGGTTAGCTGACACACAATCAGCTTCTTTTGGACACATGTAGTATATATATATACTTCACACACACAAAACATAAAATAATATAATATATATCTCTTTGTATTTGTGCCACTTGTAATTTGTATGTAATAGTTCATTTTAGTAATATTTACCTTTTTAATCCATAAGCAATGAGTCGATACCTATGATTAAGAGCTGTACAAGTTACAGTAGATAGTTCTTGAGCCCAAATTCCTACAACTTGCTAAAAATTTGAAAAAATTTTACTTAGTTTATCAATATTATTGATCATTATATAAAAAATTTCAATACAATAATTATAACTATGCTTGAAGTAAATTTTATTTTAATTAACATCAATCTTAAATGCTTAGCAAAGGATCTAAAGAACAAGTTTTTTTTTTTT